GAATAACATATGTTTAGAATGATTTTCTAGTACTTAATTTTAAAATGTTGTAGTTGTTTATTTGAGTTTTTGCTTTAACTAAGGAAGGAAGAACAACTTATGAAGGAGATTACCAGTCTACCCTAGTCGATATACCAAAATTAAATAGTAGAGTTTATTGTGTGGATTCAGCTTGTATATCGCCTCCGCAGGATTTAAACCAGCACCGCTTTTGATTCTCACTGTTGATGACTCAAAGCACTAGGCCACCATGGTTTACTCATTATAATATTTTCTTTATTAAGATATTTTTGATATTAAACAAACAATACTGTATTCCAACGAGCCGCTATGGTTGAGTGAGTTAAGGCTCCTGCAAAAATGTTATGCTACCAGTTTAAACCCCGTTCGCGGGATTAAATATATATATATATATATATTAATGCTTATATAATATATATTATATAAATATATATAATTAATAATATATAAATAAGTGCAGTCCCTACTTGTTTGCTTAGACTAGTACGGCTCGGGTTCGATTCTCGTATGAGGTAACGTCCCCACCCTGAGATTCACAGGAAGGTGAGAGCGACCCCTGTGTCTAATAACAAAGCTCCTTTGATCCTCCAGATTTTGGGGATTGGGCACATGGCTAATAACCTTATCCCGTAAAAAACAACAACAGGATAGAGACGTATGCAAAAGGTTGCCAACCATCCTGATGAAGAGGAAGTGATTGTGAGTGGCAATTATAAACCACATGCTCCCTGTATATCATCTACCTAAGAAGAGAACCAAACGACTACAGCTTATCACCTAGAACAGCCCCAATGCTTTAGAAGACTAATGGGGGAATTCAAGATTCAAGAGGCGTTAAAAAAAAAAAAAATAATAAAACTGTATTCCAAAGCTGCTAAAATGGTATTTTTTACTGGCTTATAAAGCAATAATCTAAAATGGTAAAATAAAGGTAAAACCTCAAGGCAAAAGTTGTATTAACTGAAATTAGCCAATTATGAAAACACATATTTTGTCTGCGGTAAGAGCAAAACAGATAAAAGTAACATTCTGGATGCATCCTCCCCTCTCCTCCACTTCATAGCTTGCTCCTGTCCTAGGAGCGAGGGCTTTTATTATTTTTACTTTTTAGCCTAAACGAAAGTCCAAACTCAAAATTTGTGTTCCTTCCATATTATATTTATATTACATTATATCATATTATATTATGAAAATTTAATTATTAAAAACTTTCTTTGCCAAGACTAATCGTAGAACGAAGCAGTCAACAGTTAGCTAGTCAAAAACAAGAGGTAAAATTTTGTTTACATATTAGCGATAATTGAGGACGGATGTCTCGAAAACTAAGTGAGATGGATATTATTGAGCATTCATAGACTGGCATATGAACAATAACAAATAGTTAATTGCTTCACTAGTGTTACGCCATTATTAAGAAAACACTACCGAAAACTGAGCAATCAATGGTATCTTGTTATCCAAAGATCAGAACCTTGTTAGACGTATCATGTATCTTGATTATGTATTAAGAAATTGTCTTCAAATAAATTAAATGATTCATTCGTTGATGACTCAATAGATAGACTATAAGCAATTTTTTAAATTAATCTTTGTCTTGCGACTTTCCATTCAACCCTTAATCACAAATAAGTTTCAATTAGAATACAGTAGTTGTTTGGGGTATTAAAATATTTCATATGCAAAAAGAAGGTTGTGTTTTCGTAATGCCAATGGAAGAATAGAATGGTGAACTCGAAATTCTAAAATCACATTTTCAAGTTTTCCAGGTCCCGTTCAATGTCAGTGTGAACTGTTTTGTTTCACCGCGATGGTAGCATTGGGGTCACAGTTAGTATGTTATTAATGATAAATTTGTCATGAATGGATAGCTATTTAAAACAAAAATAAAAAAAATATCTTTTTAAATATACCTTGAACATTTAAGCTGACAGGGCGAAGTAGGGCAATAGGACAGTTGCGATGAGATGCCGACAGAAGACTGTTACAGTCGATCTATAGCTCGTGAGGTGGTGACGTCGCAGGGACGCCACGGAAGGCTTTCATTCTTCTCGAAAGATCCCTGTGATAAATTGGATCTTCTTTGGGATATCGTTAGCGATCGATCCAATGCCTACTGGAAGGGGCTTGTAAGCGATATTGGATTTCGGCCTACCCTTTTGACCTATTATTTTATATGAAGTAATCTTGCCAAACAGACGAAATTAACTGCAATTATTAGTAAAATACGATTGATTTAAATTTAATTGAGTAGAAGAAGATTGCACAGTTCTGATTCTGATGAAATTATGTTCATTGTTAATGTCAAATTCAATAATCAACTATAAATAAAATTATTAAAGGTACTTTCTAAATATTACTCCACTTCTATGGATGGTACAAAATCTCATGATCATACTATCATGGACCAATCAATCGGCCCGGGTGTGTCTAAAAGTAGATGGAACCAAGGGTGCCCAGCAAGGGGTTTCATGGCGTAAGGTGGCGCCATCAAAATTTTTGACTGGGCAAATTTGACGGATTTTTGAATTTTTGAGGGGAGCAAATTTTCGGACTAAGGTAGAAGGGGAAAACATGGAACAGGCCGCTGCAAGTGTAATTGTATATTATCTACAATTTTTATAATTCTACCTTGGCTTGGTCTGTTTTTAAGAAAATGTGAGCAATAAAATATCATGGGAGGAGAAGAGAGAGGAAGGGGTAGGTTTTTGCTCCACGGACCTTTGAGAGGGGAGCAGGTGAAGATGGGCCCCTAGATGGAACTGACTGGACCTTCTGGTAAAGAGTCCACCTAACTGAAAAGAACTGGTTAGGGGTTTGTCGATACTTTTCAAGTCGGAAGCCTTTGTAATTAAATCTAATTAATTTTAACCAGAGCCAGGAAAGAGTTTGCTGAAGACGTAAACCGCGAACTAAATCAACAAAATTGTACCGTGAACAGAATATCAATCCTTAGCTATTCTCGGAATTCCATTTACTGCATGATCACAAGATCTTGGCCTTCTCGTCAAAGTGGAATGACACTTGCACCAGCTACATTTCTTCAAAGATATCCACTTTATTCGAATTGTGAGCATCCGACAAGATTTTTTAGTCATGAAAACAAAATTTTATTTTACGTTAATGAAATAAGGTACACATGTAGTAAAATAAAAATATGATGAACTTCAAAAAAACAAATTAAAAGAAAAACACATTTTTGTAAAGCCCACTGTGGTATTTCGAACCTTACTACTAATCTTACCCTTTGAACGGCTTTCCACTGATTTGAATAGATTTTTAATAATTTTTTCAAGTCCTAAAGAATGTTGTTCCATTCTTCCAGAACAGCTATTTCCAGTTTCTGAAATATACTAGGACATGTACTCGGACTTCGTACTCTTCTGTTAAGATTGATCCAGACATTTTCGATTGGTTTTAAGTCTGTATTCTGTGATGACCACATGAGGCGCTCAATCCTATCTTCAATCAGGTACTCATCCACATACAAAGTGTCTCCCATAACACTGAGCCCACACCAATGTAGGGTAAAAATATAACTACATGCTTTTCGGTAATGTCGTAGAAACTACCACTGTGACGTCATTGCCCTTCCTAGCACCACAATAAACTCCATGCGCTCACTGAAAAAAATGCCACCCCTGAACACCACATTGAGTTGCCACGAATTGCCACCTGGTGAGTGAGAGAATGAGAACAAGTGTATAAGAGGAAAATCATATGTTTCTAATGCTTATGTCTTTAGAAATCAAGATTAAAATAAGTAAAAAGAGCATCATTTATGGTTTATATTCCCTCTCTAATTTCTAGATTTCTAATATATAAAGAAAATTTGAAGCTCGAAACAACTAGTTTAATTTAACTTAAAATATTCTAGTATTGTGTTAATTTTATCCATCAATGCATTTAAAGATATAATATTACAATTTATTTACAATACATCTACAATTTTTACAATATTACGCAATACAATACGTATTTACCTACAAAATATTTATTTAGTTTTAAGCAAATAGAACTTATTTATTGTTTCGTGACTAACTACATTATCTACTTATATACCATTTTTGGGTTTACTTAAGCCATCATATACAAACAAGAAAAAAAAGACTTTATTACGTACCGGTTCTATGCACTTAACTCAGTCATCATCATTTACTTCGATTGTTATTTTTTTTTAAATCAATTTAAATTTCAAAAATATCAATCAGTTCAGCTAAAAATTTTGTTGCATGATTGAATTTGATTTTTCGTTATTCAAAAATCTGCCGGATTCATATATGTTTTTTCTATAAACATTTTTTCATTTAATTTCATATGGCAGCCTCATGGAAATGACGAAGCATTTGTCATTAAATTTAGCTCATTAGAAAAAAACATAATATAAAACATTAATTGATTTAACTAAAAAAAATAAAGTATCCAACAATTGTAATGGATTTCAGTCCCACAAGAAAAGACTAGAGACCGGAGACGCTATTCCAAAGTTGAATTGTTGTAGTTGTAGTACGTAAGTTATTATCGGTATTTTGGAAAACGGAGAGAATGCTTATAACATAGAGGTAGTCAAAAGCATAACCTCGTATAATGTTATTGAGTTGCCACATCAAACTGATAAAGTAAAGGCTACAGTTACAATCACAACAAGAGCGAATAATAATCAATAAGCTGTTTTAGAAGTTGCTGTTGTATATAGGTATGTATGTGTCCTTTCTATTTATTTATTTTTAGGTTATTTTATTCTTATTTATTGTATATATGTTATTTTTCTGTATAATTTATTTTATTTACTGTACATAGAGTGTGAATGTGATCTGTGAACACTATTATAAATGTCCTTGAGACAGATTGTAATATTTTTCAAAAAAAAAAAAAAAAAAAAAAAATTGCTGAAAACATCACTTTGAGAATTACTGTAACAGAATATTACGTCTGTACTAGCAATGATAAGTTAGACCTCAAAATCATTTTCGAATTAAAAGATGCACCATGCGCTTGATATATACTCAGGAAAACAGCAAGATGTTAATAATGTTATCCTAAATCGGTAAGTGACTGTATTACTATTGAAATTAGGTGCATCAATTAATTGACAAATTTTCAACTATGAACATATACAATATATAAAACCTCATTTTACTGATTCATGCTACGTGAACAATCAGATATCTAAGAATTCAACACACATCATTCGAAAAACTCGACAAACATGCTACAATATTTGAACTAGTGTTGCCCAAAATTTGTTTTGGTCTTGCAAAGTGCTGGTAAAAAAATGTCGAGCAAATAGTTAATAATACTTGACAATTTTAGTTACTATATGTAAAGAATTGGCATGACCAATATACTTTTGCATTTAACTTTTCTAATTTTCCATTCATACTTAGTTAAGTTTTTCCTATCTAAAAAGTTACAGTAATATCTCTCTAGTAATAAGCTAATACTGTCGAGAGTACTGCAAGACTGTCGAGAATCTTGCGAAGGACCAAGACTTAGACCAAGACTAAGTTTGCAAGAACAAGACTCGTCTCGCAACACTAATTTGAACATGTTAGATATAGACATTTTATTAGTTACAGAACCTTAAGCGGGATCAATAAAAATATTAGATTGTAATTAATGGAAAGTCTGCTGTCATAGTAACTGTCCAAACCATTTTTGCGTGCAGCCATGTGATATTGCAGGTCCTAATTCTGATTTCGTTTCCTGAGAAACAACATATGTTAAATTATTAATATATTTATACATATGTAGAACATAGTGTTTACAAAATATAAAACAAATTATAAAGGATTTCATTAAATATAATATTACTATCACTTTGTATTTAAATTAAAATACAGTTTATTCAAACAAATAAAATACAGCTGTATACTGATTGCTTATCGTTGAGATAAGTAATCAGTATACAGCGACACGACTTATTATACAGTATACAGTATACGACTTATTATTGTTAAAAATAATCCAAATTGCTGAATTTCCAAGATGTTCAGGGTGGTAGTGGAATAGAACTAATTTTAGTAAATACTAGAGATAACCTTAACACGAAATTCGACAGTTTCCAGAGAAAATATTTTTACTGACCATACCATCATACCAATTAAGGTAAATTTGTAAGAAAATGAAAGCGCAAAACAAATTATTATTAATATTATTTTTGAAGGAAAATGGTAATTGATAAAAGTTTGAGTTATTATTTTTTTTTTTTTTTTTGCGTATGCTGACTGTATTAGGATCAATAAGTAAAATATTTGAGTTGGTATAATATTGTTAATATTACGTGTTTTCATTATTTCGTTTATTCACTAGTCACACAGAGGAGGAAGGGGAAATTTCGAGTTTATTCAAAATTCAAGAAGAGACTTGTTGTTACTTCTTTATTACTTGTATATACTGTATGAATGAGAACTTCTAGCCTTAGTACATATAGCCCTCCAACAGTGGCTGATTGTATTATTATTCAATAAAATATAATAAAAAAAAAAGACTTATTAACAGAATGTGATGAAGATATGAACAGTGAACAGAGGAGGGTGAGGTTTTAGAGATAAACGAATCCAGTAAGCCAAATAGATTACACTTTTTAAAATTAAAATAAGTTATCTGTGATATTTAAGAGGTTGTTATCAACATGCTAGACTCATTAATTATTTTTTTGTTTTTTCTATCGTTAAAATCAAGCGTGATAACTCCCTTTGGAAACTACAAAAAAAAAAAAAAAACCTTTTAATTCCACTCTGTCTCCCACGCCCTACGATGGTTCTTGGGCTGGAAGAATAAAACTCAATAATTTGCTAAACATTCATAGGACGCATTCATTTCCCATTCCGAACTCCATACAGAACTCCGTTCTTGGCTTCTGATTCTTCCGAGACCGTTGTGGCTCAAAAGTTTCGAATTGTTATTCAGTTAAGGCCGGAGCCCAAAGTACTTCGAACAATAATTAAAACTCCATATTATGTAGCAGAAAAGACTTTACACCATGATCTTAGTATACCATATGTCCTTTACATCATCCCATCCCGATGTGCAAACTTTCACTAAAAATTATCAATCATTCTAATCCTCTAGCTCAATTCCTATCCGACAATCCCTATAATCCTTTCCGGATATTAACACGGCAGCGGCCTCAAAACCTTATGTAAATATTTTAATGGAATCATAGCAATGGCCAACTTCTCCATTTCATACCTGGATGTTTGTGACCCTATCACAGTCTCCGCAGACCAGTGTGTCCTTCCCCCCGAGGTCAGAGGCACAAGGACCTATCCTCCTGCCTCCTTCCAAGATATTCTATTGCTCAACTTTTCTTAAAAACAGAGCAAGCTAAGGTAGAACTAGAAAAATCCTAGATCATATACAATTACACTTGTTGCGGCCTGTTCCATGTTTTCTGTTTGTCCCTGAGTCCAAAAATTCATAACCCTTACGAAATTTGCCCCTCTCAAAATTCAAAAACCCGTCAAGGTATGACCCCCTCAAAAATAATGATGGCGCAACTTGGGCCATGAAACCCTTCCTGGGCGGGCACCCCTGCCGATGGTTTCTAATCCATTGAGGCGGATAGAAGAGTCTAGAAGCTCTGAAATCTTTTGGTGTTTCACAAATGTAAGACAAAGCCTTGCTCAGAATCTGTTGGACAAATTTAAATATCGTACATAGTTGTGAATGAGTTTTAGATAATCTTTATTTATTTATTATTTTTACTTATAACAAAAGGTTTCACAACAAGCTCTATGGTCACCCCAATAGACTCATCCAAGACATGGCCAAAAAAACATGCCCGATAATATCCGCAGAAGGCTGAAAAGGAGTTGGATGAGAAGATCTCCTTAATTAACCACAAACATGACTGAAGATAAACCACTGGGTTTTTTTTTCTCTTCCTCATGCCTATCACGCCCTTTCTCCTAGTCTATTTGTACAGTTATCTCATTCACTGGTTGTCAGTGGACATTGACAGTTGTGAATTAAAAAATAAAGAGGAAAAAAAAATTATTATTTTGTATTTAAGTTTAATTTAATTCTTGTTTCTACAGATTTTAAAGACATTGTCTATTTATTTTATTTTATCTATATCCTTTAATTTGTGAAGTCAGATATTTTTTACTTTTTTCACTATGCTTTTTTTATTACTACTTTTTATTTTATACATTTGATTGTTCGTTTTTACTTTATTTGGTTATTTTAATTTGTTTTTTATTACTTTATTTTATTTTTCTTGTATCTATATATCTTATGAATAGTCTACCTCTAGCTCTGATACTTATTACTCTTGGGTGTGGCAGATTATGGTATTATTCATTAAATAAATAATAAAAAAAATAAATAAAATCATGCCTTATATGAGAATGATCCGTATAATTTGTTACCAATAAATGTTATTAACAACAACAAAAAGGTTTATTTTTGTGAGTTTCCAAAAAAATTAGAAGAGATTTTCTCTAGTAAAGTTTTGACGAAACATTTAGACTCTGTTAATGTTACCAGATCGGTAATGGCGAAGTTCTAGAATTATTGAGCTCTAAATAAATATAAAATAAAATAACCATGCCTGGATTTGGAGATGATTTAGCTTTCTATTCAGCTGGCAGCCGATGATGGCAGAGATCCACGGTATCGAGATGTACTCGATGGCGAGAAGACAAATGGTAGTCGAACTCTTCCGAACTTTCGAAAGCTCCTGCGTCTTTGGCTTCCGAAGGTAAACTAGGCGAAGGGTTTAGTGAGGGCACCATCTACTAGCACTTAATCCATTAAAATATAAACATCGGGTGTATAACTAAAATAAATAGACACTCTCTCAATTCTTTTTGAATGAATTTTTAAATTCCATGATATTAAGTTGCTATGTTGCAAAACGAATAAAATATTTTAGGCTCATAAAATGAACTCCATGATAAGTGTTACAATAAACAAAACGCTATTAACCTGATGACTAAATAAAATAATAAGGAACAACACATAGCGACATGAATGTATAATTTGCTATTTAATGTCATATATGATTACACATGAAAATCTGAGGTTTGTAAGCGGACAATAACAAGACAGGATAGAAGGAATAAATTATACGAAGCAATCACTGAAAATTATTTTAAGAAATACTTTTAAAAAAAGGACTAGAAAATCGCTCCTTACCATCTGAAAGTTATTCAGTGAAGACATCCTCCCCGTCACACAACCCCGGAATGTGATTGGTGACGACTGGCGCCTTCGACAGCCTCTGACTGACGGAGGACCTTTATGGGGAGTTCACTGTCAGCTCTTCAGGAATGCTAAGACTCGGTTGAATATATGAGCCTCCTGACATTCTCCTCAACAGGATTGGGTCGAGAGTTCAATCAGTGCTCGAGCAGCGTCTCAGCTTCCGAAGGTACTAAGCATGATCGTGGTGCGGATAAGAATCCTTTTATAGTACCTGGTCCATATAGCCATATCCAAAACGCCCTAAATAAAATGCCAAATTCAAACACAAAAAAATAACTAAAGCAATTGTTAGAATATTACAGGATGATTTCCAAACAAAGCCTTGGATCCCTCAAATCGCAAAAAAGTCTATGAAAATTATTAATACTAAGATTTTGATTGATTGTTAATCAAATTATAACGATAAATCGACTTAATAGGTACAAAAATCGTTGTGTACCATTCCATGCTTTATTGTTGTTATACCATAGTTTGTAATTAAAAATTTCATTTATATAATTGTTTTATATAATGGTTTCCAGTTAATTCAAATCTCTGTACAGTTTGTGAAATGGATAGATTTAATAAACAATTGTACGATTGCAATATTGTCGAAAAAAATAAATTTTGTGCTGAAATGAAAGCTATTTAAGTATGTAATTACTTTTAAAACTATGATTTTGATGGTTGATCTATGAAGCTGAGTTATAATAGTTTAATAGTTTCTATAATATTCTATTATATTATTGATATTATATATGGCAAATGTGTTTTTAAATTTACGTTATAACCAAAGAAACATTTGGCGGCCATTGTTAAGGAAAGTAAGATCCAATACCAAATGAGAGTAATGGCGAAAAAGGAGTCAGAAAAAAAGGCCTACACGACAAAAGAGAATACATCTAGGTGAGGACCAATAAGCGTGGAAAACCACACACGAAATAAGCGGTAGAAAGGTGTATATATATATTATATATATATATATATATATATATATATATATATATATATATATATATATATATATATATATATATATATATATATATACATATAGTGGGTCCAGTCAAATTAGACATGTTACCTTGTCAGAGGTTGGGTAATTCATATTACTTTTTTATATTGTTAGGTATGTATTGAAAAATCCAAGTTTCCGCTCTTGAAAGACTTGCCGATTGAATTTTCGAATTTTATAGGGACGTATACAAAAAATGGTCATATTCAATCTTAATATGCTTAAAGTTATCTGACATATCTATATAAAAAAAAAAATTTATAAGCCCCACAGGAGGCGAAGCTGTCCAGCTTTCAAAACTTACCCATTTCGATTTCTTCACAATAGTGCTATTTCAGTTTTTCATGGAAGAATTTTGTAACTCCTATTTGAATATATAGGAGGTCTTTTGGAGAATTCGAAGGTTTTCCTTGAAGATAATGAACCATTGACTGGACCGGCAGACACTAGTTGGGAGGTGTTTTGAAAAGAATGTTACACGGTGGGAAAGAATGTTACCTCCCTACCGTGCACCCTCTCCTCACACCCAACAAAAATGCACACAATTATGTTCCTTGTAATCATTTATTAAAAAAAAAAAGCCAATGCAGCCAAAAAAAAAAGTGGCCGCACTTAACAAAATGGTGTCCAAACAAGGCGGATTGACGTATTTGATTTGAGTTAGTTTTTCGGTCACTGAGTTTCAGAATTTGGCTTAATTTCGTCATAATTTTATGAAAGCTGAATAGTTAGAGAATGATAGAACAAGAAAAATATTTATTAAAAAATAGGGGAAGGCAGTGGATCAGCTGATGAGAAGGTTGTCTCCTCAACTCCTCTCTCAGTTTTTACCAATTTTATAGCGGAATCTCTCTGATTATTCACGTGATACAGTTAAGTGTATATCAGAGCAGTTGATATTTACTGTTGGCATCTTTTTTTTGTTATTTTAAGAAAAAAAAAAAAAAAAAAAAAATTATTTTTTTTATTTTTTATTTATTTATTTATTTTTCTCTTATGATATGCGGTATGATCAGCAAGTGATGGCCAGTAAGGTGCCCAAGAGGTCTCGGTCAGACGGAGTTAGCTCACCAGCCAAACAAAGGACTCGTCGCTGCCTACGAGAAATACCTCCAGTGACCAAAATGAACACTTCAGAACCAGAACCTCAGCCCCAACCAGGTACGTCTGCACAAGAAACGATTGAAGAATCACCTTTCTTTACTCCAAAC